TGTGGTCCCTGGTTGTGCTCCTCGCTTTGTCAAACGCTGGAAGGAACGCTGCGTTCGCCCAGCCTTAACGACCACAAGCTTTCGCATGCGTCAGGCCGAATCATGTCAACTGCCATCATTGGCCACTTTCTTCCAGTGCCATCCTGGCCTCGATTTCTGTTCAAGCATTCATTGCTCCAGGTTGCCTGCATCCTTGGTCCGCGAATGGACGTTGGCAAGGTGTGGTCACCATCCTTTCCTGGATGGGCGCGCAGCCCGTTATCGTGCCTTGCATGTGCCATGCCTTTGTGGTTCCGATGACTGGAGCTTATGTCATGCCGCCTTGCGCAGATGCCCCATCTTTAGCTCATTGAGAAGCACGTGGCTCCAACGCCTGCACTCCCTGGGAATATGTGGGGTGGACCGCCTGGCAGATGACATGTTCGTGCGGCTCATTTTTTCCACCCGTGCGGTGCGAAATGGCCGCTCCGCCTTTGCTGCACATGTGTCTTTCGTCGCGGGCATTTGCCAAGCGCAAAGGTCCCTGCTAAATGGCGTTGAACCACATGGTGCCTTCTGTGAGCTCAATGCTGCCTGAGAAATTTGAACATAATTCATTTGATCTTTGACCGTTTCACGTAGTTTCAACTTCTGACCGCCAGACGGTTGTTTCAGGACTCGTGCTGAGGAATCTTCTTTCGATAGCATTCTTGCTCATGTTCAGACTATTCCTGAAGCTATGTGTGGAAGCAGCATCTCTCGATCACGTCCATTGTTCCTCAGGGCTGGATTCGTAAGATTCAGCGACGTGCTCTGCTTCGAGAGCTAGTGTGGAGCACGGTCTCTCAAGATGATTTGTTGTGTGTAACACTTCCTCGCCCTTACCGGCACACGGCTTGCCCTTAGTACGGTCTCCAAAAAAACACAACATCATCGCGAACAGATTTTGGTCGCATCTGATGGTTGATAGGATGTGGGCGGGGGGCTTGCAGCACAACAGGGTGCACTTTCATTAGTCAGGCCAGCCACAAAGTATGGTGCTTATACAACTCAAATAGTTTGGGTGTTGGAAGCTCAGGACCCACTTGTAGCGTCGAATGACATGTGGAGGAATACTGTGTCAGTTTAATTGTTTGTGGAGGACCCAAAATTTTCATTGACCTGTCCAACGCATGCGTGACCGTGGGATACAGTCGTGCTGCGAGAGTCTATGTGTTTAGGGGCCGAGTTCCTATTGTGAAAGTGAAGCACTGCCACGAACTTTTGCTTCGCTTGCCCCCAACGCCCATTGTGAACCATTGCTACAATTACGTACTTCTAGAAATGCTGGTGCTACGACTGTTACTGGCAACGACGACGACTACCGCTTCTCCTTCGCAACAGAACATGAAGACAACGGTTGAAGAGAGAGTGCCTTTTCGCACGTTTGCCGACATTTCGAAAGGTGCTCGGACGGCCTACCGCTTGTTGAACGCCGACTTCCTACCAGGACCCAGGGTTCTAGATCCGAACCCACATGGAGGCAAAGATAAACATCCAGTGTTTTAACAAGGCATCAGGATACGCATCCTATGTCAGCCAAGCTCCTCCACGTGCACCAGCTAGCGTGAACGATAAACTCCTTTTGGAATTTGCCTTGCGAAGCATGCTGGTTCTCTACTGCTTTGCGGGCAGGATCCTGGAGGGTCTTTGAGGTCGGCTTCTTTGACAACACAGAGTGCCAAGGAGGTGAGCAGATCCCTCATCCTTGCAGCATGACTCGTCGGGGGCAGAGCCTTGAGCTCATGTGCGTTCGCTGCCTGTTACCGTTCACATCTCAATGGCATTCTTCAAGAGCAGGGTGCGAGGGATGTCGTTCGCATCTCATGCTAAAGATATGCGTGTGAGGGCTGTCTACACATGTGTGTGGTATGACGACAAATCAGTAGGTCAGGTACGGGCATCGCTTTTAAAACATGGTTCCCACCATGCAGAGCATCTAGCTTGCAGAGCTCTTGTCCTTCATTTCTTAGACCCTAATTCCTACCCGACCGCGCAAAAAGGCCTAGGCCCTAAACCTCAAACCCCTGCGTTGTGGCAGGCCGCTGGACCGGGGAGGTTTATGGTGTGTCGGAGGAGGCAGAGGCTGGGCGAACGGCTGCTTGGATGTGACCAGAGTGTTCCTTTTTCTCGAGGGTTTAATAGGGGGTATATTGGGATAATGGACAAGAAAATGGAAACTACTATAGTATACTAGGGTATATATGGGGTTTATAGGTTATATAGGCATAATGGAAAACAAAATGGGACCTACTATTTAGGGGTTAGGGTTTTAAGGTTTAGGGTTTAGGTTTCGACTTAGGGCCTGAGATTTGTTGAGGGACCTTGATTCTTTATGTGGGTGCCTGGGTATCATACTTGTGATTCTGCGTTTCTATATGAGCTACTGTTCCGGCTTTTGTCAAAGGTTGTGCGGCTCTGTGGGGGTTGTCTAGGCATTGTAGGGATGTTTTCAAGCTTCTTATCCGGATGGTGTAATACGGGAAAGCCTGCAGGGATACTGCACACATCCCATTTGATGTGGGCTCTGCTACCATCTCGTTTCTGCTCGAGCGAAACAGGGCCCAGATGTGAACTTATTAATTAGATCTGACCTTACGGAGGGACCCCGCTGCAGTCCGTTTCTGTCACCCTTCCCGAATTTCTGTTGGAACACCCCCTGCCTTTCGTGCAGATAGAATTCTGCATGGGCGTTCGCTAGCTCGCAGCTGTGAAGTTATCACCCTTGAAGGTCATAGAAGGGAGAAGCACATCGGCATGAACCCCATGCATCGTGCAGTCTTAGGAGCATCTGCCACAATTTTGTCATGCATACATCTGCCTTCGGGGAGCCACGCAGAACTGGAAAACATGCTGCATGGATCGGACTCTGAAGTACTTGCGACATCCAGGTTGCTCTTGCTTTCGATGGAAACCGTACTTCGCTTCACGGCTGCAACCAGGTAAAGTCTTGGAAGAATGTCATCACTTCCTGTCTTTTTCGTGGGGCACAAGCAAGCAGAATCCCATTGAAGGCTATAGAAGAGATGCCCGAGGTCGTCACTCGCTAGCGGTTCAGTCAACAAGTTACAAGCACTGTCGCTCGTTCCGGCCAGCTCACCATGCCATGAAGACCACACAAGACCGCAGCATTGCTCGAGAAGTGAGAGCGGCTAGCTGATGAATTGCCTCGAGGCTAGACATCTTCTGTCACCTTTCAGCACATCACCACATTAGCCTCAAGCGACACTGCCATGGCTGTCGCAAAGCGGCTGATCTCGGATGTTCTGGGCCGCGGGGGCATTGCCAGCAGTGTGCTTGATGGGGAGGCAGAGCTGCCATGTGTAGGAATGATGGAAAAGAAAATGGAAACTACTATAATAATGGGACATATGGGGGATTATAGGGTATATGTTGGGGTTATATTGGGCTTATATAGGGGTTATATAGGGATAATGGAAAAGAAAATGGAAACTGCTATGTAGGGCTTAGGCTTTGCTTAATGTCAATTATTGCTAAATGCGTGAAGTGGAGAACCAAATGGCAAAGAGCGTGCAAAACGAATGGAAGCTGGGATTATATAGTGGTTTTAAGGCATGATCGTGATCCCAGTTTCCATTTCACTTTCCATTTTCTTTCCATTTGATTCTGTAATATCCCTAAATCCTAAACGCTAGGTTTCCAACAAATCAGACCTGCAAGGCGCAAATCTATAAGCTGAAGAGAGCACATATGCTGCAGCCTACCCTTTCGTGCTACCAGTAGTGCTTGACGAAGTTGTGACTCTTATTTGGGGCATCAGAAAGACCGTGTTTTGAACGGCTTGCCTTAGTGCCTCAGGGCTTCACCACCTCCTATTATCATAGCTCTATGCTGGCCTGGCTCAGGATGGCTTGCGTTTGTCCTGTTTTCATGGTTATTGATATGGACATCATGATTAGGATTCTATTTTTGTGGCACACCTCCAGCAATATGATGTTGCGATGTGGCGCTGGTGTTGCGGCTTCTCGACCAAGAGGCCTAGCTGAATACACTTTTCCCGCGCAGGCGTACCTCTTTGGCGGGCATGATGGTTCGATGCCGTGTTTTGGCTGCCACAGCTGGGTTAGGTTTTCTGGAGCTCAAATAGAGCCCTCTTTGACTTCCAAGGGGTAGCTGAGGCTGAGATCTGAGAGATCGGGGGTTCACTGTTCTCTTCATCTATTTCTGCTCAATGCTTCAAAGTAGCAGTCCCCAAAGTGGTTTTAGCGAAGTACAAGGGTGCCTTGCGGGACTTTCCTGCACGAATTTCTGAGGCATGTCGGGGCACGTGATATTCCCGCAGCACGCAAAGATGCTGGTTAGCAGAGAAGTGAAGACGAAGGGCGCTATTATGGCAATGCGCTCATCCCAGCGTTCAACAGTTGGAATCCCCGAAATCTTTTGAACCGAAGGTCCCCTAAAGCTTTCGCTAAACCTTTCGAACACCGATCTCTTAAACCTTACGAACGAGGCTGAAGGTGGTAGAGTCCTTCCGCCCGTCCGACAACCCCGAAGACCGGGGCGACTGGAAGGCGCACGCAAATACATGGGCCATCCTCCCCAAGCTAGTGTGGAGCCCCATGTTAGTACCATGAAGCCTGTATGTTGTAGGGTTTTGATTTTTGCGGTCTACGGTTACGTAATATAGGAGAATCACCCGGAAAGAACAGGAAAAATGAAATTGTCTCTGTGCAGATATAGGCTGATTTATAGAGACAGCTGAAGTAGGGGGCTCATTTTGTCGTTGAGTGTAAATAGTTCCTCTTAGGAATGTTGGTGAGCGCATAGCTGTTGCGTGCAATTGAGGAGACCGGAAACAACAACCATCAGTCATATACCCTAAACCCTAAGCCCTAAGTATCATATAGCCAGCATTGGTTTGGGGAGGCCATTCGTTTTCCTTTTCAGACAAAAGCAGGAGTGCAAGCTTTGGAGTTGGATTGGTCTGCAGGCTTCTATTCGGATCTTGAGATTTTGTGTTCAGGCTTGTGGCTGTTGTGCGCCCTGGGTTTCGTCCTCTTTCCGTAGCAGACACATCCCAGGATTCTCCGTTGGGGTTTCATTGTTCGGGCGTGCGCTCTGAACCAACCAACCTTGCTGGACCTCCTCAAACGCCAAAGCCAGCCTCCTAGAAATGTTTGTGTGCCCTTGTAGACAATGTTTTTCAACCGGATAAAGACTTTCTAGTACCCTCATCCAAGTTGGTTTGTCGAAATCAGGCCTCCGCCACATTTTTACATCCTCAAGAATTCTAAGAACCCCGGGTGCCATCTTCATGCGAGTGAGTTTGCCTCAAAATATTCTACATCCACCCTTTTTTTCTAGATGGTTCTCAGGGCCTGAGTGGATATCCTGTGAGGAGCTACCTCCGATGCTGGCCCGGCGGACCTACGCCTCGGCGTCTGAGTTGGATGGCAAGATTTACGTGATGGGAGGCCGAAGGGTGCAGGGGCATAGCGACTAAAAACTACCGGCTTAAAAGGCTTTTTTGGATATCTCTAGTGCGACCCGAGCATGTACTGTTTTTTTGGGGGGCGTCAATTTCCCGCAATTGCTGTTCCCAAAGTGGGCGAGGTTTATACGGGGACTCGTGTTGAGAAAAAGCTGACGTGCGTGGGTCATTCTTGGCGAGAATGCATGCAGGAACACATAATGCAGGGACATTTGTCACAAAATCACCGTTACGAGATTTTTCGCAGTGCCTGGTTGCATAAAAGCGCTGGGACATTTGCAGCGCCATTGTCGAGTTTCTGAAAATAGAGAACCCCAATATGGGCCCCCACATGCTCCAATCCTTTTTCGGACCTAACAAAAGCTACCCCTATTTCGGGAAACCCTTGAATCCATCCCCAGAACATCCGTATAATATCCTTACGTAACCCCTGTAACCCCTTTAAAGGTACCCCTAACTTTGGGAAATTATCCTAGACACAAAACCTAAACCCTACTGTGGAGTTTCACGTCAGAATCTGGCCGTAGGCAGCGCGGACGGGCGTACGTTGAACACCTTTGAGGTCTTTGACCCCAAGGCAGGCTTGTTTAGGGAGTAGGGCCTAGGTTTTAGGGATTAGCGTTTAGAGATTAGGGTTTTAGGGTGTTCAGGGTTTTTTCTTTGTGTGCCTTATGTAACTATACCCTTTATATTCCCTATATTCCCTTAAAAAGCCTTACCCCAAGCGCGTGATTCACAATTGAAGGACTACACAGTCTTCGGGCCCAGTCCCCCATGTCAACCGCCAAGCCTTAGTGGCATTCAAACCCTACACCCTAAACCCTAAACCTTAAGCCCTACACCCTAAACCCTAAACCCTAAGCCCTCCAAACCGCTGCAAGGCTTGCGAGTGGGACCAGTGGTTCACAAAGCCACCGATGAATATCAAGTGCCTGGCTTGTGGTTCAAAGGGATTTGCTTACTGCTGCTTATGTGGGAATGGGAGAGTGGATCCTAGTAATAATCTTTATGGAATCCCCATACACATCCCTACAATAGTCCCTATATTCACTCCCCATTCCCTTGCCATGTTGCGGAAAGTCTGCCTAGGAGCCCTACGCGGCACCGCATAGTTTACATTATGGATGCAGCATCGCCAGAAGATCTGCTGAATTGCTGATCTAGCATGAACACGACGTTAGTTTACTGAAGTTGCAATGAAGGGACATGTCTGTGACGCAAGCTGACCTGCCAGTCAGAAGCGGCTCTGTCCGGTCTGAAGTAGAAGTCCTCACTTGACAGCTTCCTTGGCGTCCTTGTCAAGTGCCATGCGGATGCAGGATTCCCGCCCTTTTACCCAAGCGAAGAGCACTGGCGGTCCCTGAACCTCGCTTCAGGGCCGCGAGGGCTTTGGAGTCAGAGGGTTGGTGAATGAAATCTATACGTATCCATCAAGCAAACCAGGCGTACCATGCATGCCGCCGCCGTAGCGGAGGGCCGCATCTATGTGGCCGGGGGCTTTGATGGCATTCGAGACCTGGCAGCGGCGGAGATTTATGACCCCAGGCGAGTCTCCTGGTGCGTAGGTGGTTGAGGATGAAGACCTTTGGGCATCATTTTGGTTGATGGCTCTTTCACATTTGTTCGGAGATTAGCTCAATGACTCTCACAACGGGACAAGTGGGAGGGATAGCAGTAGTGCGAATGCAAATGAGAAGCTTGGCATTTTTGAGTTTTGGCTCTACAGAAGCTGTGCGTTCTGTACACTTCTTTCAGGCCTGCATTATGTGATGATGGGACTAGGTATTTCAGACCGATGTGTTTACGCTACAATGGAGCCGTCGCAGAACCCTTTGCAGTTTCTGTCAAAGCAGCAATGTAGGCATTATTCTCATGCGGTTCAGTAACAAGGTGTGCGATACACGATGTCTAACGCTGGTGTGACACTTCCTTTTGAAAACGCTGAGATGGAGCTGTAAATTACACAATTCAATCTTGCATCCTAGCTACGCGCACGTGGTTCAATTCCATGAGGAGACCAAGAAAATCTACGGAACATGAGACCTTCAGTGGCTTGATGCTTTGCTTTTTCCACCTAGCAGTGCAGCAGCAGGAGCAACAGTATAACTCTAAACCCTATATAACACCAATATATTATGGTAGTTTCCATTTTCTTTTCCATTATCCTATATAATCCATATATAAACCCAATATAACCCCAATATATACCCTATAATCCCCCATATAACCCCATTATTATAGTAGTTTCCATTTTCTCTTCCATCATCCCAACCCTAAACCCTAAACCCTAAACCCTGAACCCTAAACCCTAAACCCTAAACCCTAAACCCTTAGTTTCCGTTTTCTTTTCCATTGTCCGAGCAGGAGCAACAGCTGGAGCTCGCACATTGATCCCATGAACGTGCCGCGGTCCTATCACAGCATGGCTGCTCTTATGCAATAACGCGGTTTAGGGTTTAGGGTTTCGGGTTTAGGGTTCAGGGTTTAGGGTTAGGGTTTAGGGTTTAGGGTATACCCTGAATCCTAAATGGTAGCTTCCATGTTCTATTCCATTAGCCCTATATACCGCCGGTATAATCCTTATATATACCTATATTATCCCTATATACCCCTAGTTGTGGGATATAGAGTCTATACGGATTTCAACCCCAGGCTTCAGCCTCGCCGTACTCCGGAGTCTTTTCCAGCATGATGTTGAGGATGTGTATGTTTCGGGGCAAAGTCATATTTGATAGGGTTTATATAGGGTACATAGGGATGCATAGGATATACAGGGTTGAGGAAGACCAGTGGAGGCAGCTTGCAGAGCCCTAAACCAGCAGTTTCTATGCAATTTTCCATTATCCCTACATAACCCTTCTTATCCCTATCTAACCCTATATAACCCCATATATCCCCATATAACCGTACATGCACACCTATTTAACACTACATTGCCCATTGCCGGCCTGGCTGCGTCTCAGGTTACGGCGCAAAATTCCATCTATGCAATTGGAGGTCCATGGCTTGCTGGTTGTTTACAGTCCTGGAATTGCCCAGTCGAATACAAGGACCCCAAGGGTCAACTCTGTACCCATAGCATTTCTGCAAAGTGCTTGGCGAGTGAAAGTTAGCTCAGAAACTAGTTCAGCCCATGTGGATTGAGCTACTGGTGTAGCAGAAGCTTAGCCCTTCCAACGGGGCCTTGCGCGTCGCGGGTTCTAGATCGTGCAAAGGGAGCTATCGAATTGAAATATCTGCGCGCAGCAACCAACACTAATGATGCATCCTACTAATGATGCATCCTGGACTGTGCATGCCAGGTCAGGAACGGCAAGTCAAGTCGGATCGTCCGCGTGCCCACAGCACTGTCGAGGCCTGCGCTTTTTGCAATACTTGATTTCAATTTTAGGATGTTTTTTTTGCACATTGATAGTTTAAGAGCTTCTAGGTTTCTAGGAGTGCCCCACATGCTAAGATGCTCGAACCATGCCAAGGCCAGTTTCCCTTGTACAGCATACTTTCCTTGAAAAGGAGGAACTGATCGTTGTTGGACCAACTGGGGCCCAGAACCCATTTGAAGCCTTGAGCTCAAACTGCTGAAGTTCCAACCTCCCAAATTCCCAAGCTCTCAACTGGGTTGCTGCTAGGGCTGTTAGGGAACGTCAGTTAAGTCTATACATATGCATATAGTAGATATGGTTTCCTCACTGGCTTGTTTTAGGCTTTTGAACAGCAACAGTTTATAGCGTGCGTGGGCGGCAAGCCTGTGAGCCTTTGGGGAGGCTTTCGAGCTCTACTGCGAACGGAGTCTTGGCATATTACTGTTATGACTTTACTGTGATTTCTAGTAGCATTACTCGTATTACATAACAAGTAAAGCTACTAAAATCAGTACTATTGCAATTTGTTAAGGACCGTGGTGGATTTTCGACAGGCACAAGGAATGAGCCTGTCCTTTGAAGTGGCCATGGTTTCTGTTGTAAGTAACAGCTCTAGAAGTGTCTAGTTGTCGGCAGGACTTTGGCAGGTTAAGGAGTTTAGTTGCAGCATCTAAGTTGAAGGTGTTCTGCAGGCGTAGGCCGAGAGTTTAGGAAGTGGGCGTGGCATTATAGCAACGAAGGCGTAGGAACGAGTCGGCACGGATTTCTCTGGCCCACCTGAACTCAAGGCTACAACTTACGAGCAAGTCTTGCGTGGTGGAGGGAGCTGTCAAGTCGATCCGTTGTTTCAGGGATTATAGTACCATCGCCCCAGAAGTCCTTCCCCCCCATAGTTTAAGGAGTTAATAAGGGTTATTTAGGGCTTACATGGGTTCACTAAGGCCTGTTAGGATTCTAAAGCTGGGGGGGTATTCTTGCGGGGATAGAGTTGCAACCCCTCATAGTCATGATTCGTCCTGTTCGTGAACCCTCACTTCAGACATTTTTGAAGCTGCGATTTACGTTAATTTGCAGTGATCCCTAAACCTTAAAAAGGAACTTAAAACCTTAAAACCTAAAGGGCTATGTTTGGCCCTGTTTTGTGGGGACCCGGCCTAGCTGGAAAGCTTTCTGACCGTATTGCGGAAGGACAAGAGGCCCGACAAAACGACAAAAATCTAAGGGGCGGGTAATAAGGCAGGTTGAGATCCAAGAGTACTGTAGCTGTTTTCTGAGCCGCTCAAATTGTCTTCGAGCAACTGGTGTTGATTCATTTGACACTGGCATTGCGCGGTCTGCTGAAAATGAGATCATTGCAAGAAAATGGGACCCTAAACCCTAAACCCTAGATCCCTAAACCTTGGGTTTTAAATTCCTCTTGGAAGCTTTTCATGCCGGGTGGATGCTTGATTGTTTAGGGATTTCGGGGTTTAGGGATTTAGGGTTTAGGGATGTTGGGGTTTAGGGTCTAGGGTTTAGGGATTTTGGGGTTTTAGGGTTTAGGGTTAGGGGGTTTCTTCTTTTCATAACTTGGCTCGCGCTAGATTTCTCTTAAGTTGTCATTCGAGCGGTGCGGGAGGTCCGTGGTCTTTCGAATGAAGCCAGGGACACACGGGATAGCCCTGCCAGAAGAGTAAGCATGATCCTTGCGGTCCATATGAACTATAGTCTAAACTCCTTAAAAGGGGATTATCTAGGGGTAATATAGGGGACTACTTTTGGGGTTATTAAGGGGGATACTAGGAGTTTAGACAGTAGCTCATATGGTAGTTTCTCACAATATGGGGACGCCAATATAGACCCGAATACTTATCAAAGAGTCCCCCCAAAATGGTACCCCTCACTTTGGGAAACTCCCATTTTTACCCATACGTGCCGTCAGGGTAGGCCCGAGTCCTGAAGGCTCCGAGTCTCACTTTTGAAGTACCTACATTAGGAGGACCCCCCACCCTGTAATAGTGGTATAATAAGAATATAAGAAGACCCTCATATAATCCCTATTATCCCTTATAGTCACTATTACTGGGTGGGGGGTCCACCTAATACCTACGTTTCCCCAGGGCCGAAACGGGGAACGCCTCTCGCCCCCTCCAAGTTTGTGAGACTGCCAAGTCATTGCCCAGGTGGCTTGAGGTGCCACCCATGTCCACGGGCCGGATCGGAGCCTCCGCCTGCCTCTTTCAGGCATCTGCCTAAAAGTCTAGCTGGTAGCAACTGTACTGGGATATAACGGGATGATAAGGGGGGATGATAAGGGTGCTTCTTGAAGGCAGTGTAGGAATATAGGGCATTCTGGCAGTGTAGGAATATGGAGCATCTTAGCAAAATTCTAATAGGAGGGCAGAATGCGAACTAAGGATGCCCGGTGTTTGCTGAGACTCATTTTCAAAGATAGTAGCTATCAGTGTGGCAGATGCGACTGGCCGAACAACATGATCAACATCTTAGAAGCACACAATACGGCTTCAGACCACAACGCGGTACTAGGCACCCCCTCTTCATCCTCAGAAGAGCCATGGAATGGTCAGACATGACCAATAATGCGCTCAAACTCCTTTTCTTAGATTGGAAACAAGCTTTCGACTCACTAGACCGCAACGCCATGCTCATCGCACTAGAACGGTTCGGGCTATCCCAGCGGGCTATTAGGCTCATCTCGTCATTCTATCAAGGGGCAACGTTTTACACCACCAACCCACTGGGTGAAGATGCGAAGGGGCAGGTCGGGTCGGGTATCAGGCAAGGATGCCCCCTCAGCCCATACCTACTTCACAGTCATACTAGAAGACGCGGACACAATGCTTTTGGCCAAGGGTACCCCAACAAACACCTGGTCGGTGGCCAGACCCACGCACGACATAGAGTATGCCGACGACACGTTGTTAATGGCTCTGACCACAACGCAACTTCAAAACATCCTGCACGCCTTGGAGTCCCAGGCGGATTTGTATGGCATGAAGCTCAACAGGTCTAAAACAGAATTGTTAACGGACCCCAGATATGCCACCCCGAAAATTTATTTCATCAACGGACAAGAAGTACCGACCACAACGCAGGTAAAATACCTAGGCTCACATATCGCATGGAAAGACCCCTTCTCTGTAGCATTCAAACACAGGGCAGCGTTAGCGGAGTCAGCTTATAAGAAATTAAGATTGGTCTGGAATAGCCACCTTACCCGCCACACCAAACTTAGGATCTTTCAGGCGACATTTGTGCCAGTCCTCACATACGGGTTGGATGCTCTAACTCTAACGGACAAACACTTGGACAGAATAGACGCCTTCTTCTTTAGATTTCTAAGGAGAATAGTTGGGATCAAGGCCTCCTACTACTCCAGAGTCAGCAATCATGTAGTGTGGAGAACGGCCAACTACTCCAAAAAGCCATCAGAAAGGATGCATAAGATGCAATACAAAATGCTAAAAGATGTATTCTTTGCGGACATAGACAATCCGCTGCATAATGTGGTGTTTGCGTCAGCCTTCAGGGACAGGATTAGAGTAACAGGACGTAAAAGGGGTCGGAAGAAAGCATATTGGGTGGAGACCACAACGCTACGCTTCTTCAGGGATGATTGGACCAACCTAGCACGAGTTGAGGTAGGACCACACTGCCCTTACTCTTCCATTTATAGAGACCTAGCCAGCTCAGAGCAGGCGCCAATGCGCGCACCGCATAGATTGCGCGCCCGGCGTTAGCAAAAAAGCTATCAGTGTGGCAACAGGCAGACATGCGTTCATGCTATGCCAGTCGTCTCTCGGGACATATGAAATGAATGAGGGGCATTTGGGATAGGGTTTTGAGGTAGAGTATGCTACAAATCTTTCACCCTTGCGAGGGGATATTATTGGCAATTACCGGAATTGCAGGCATGATCCCTTTTTGGTTCTTGTTGTAGCAAGCGTAATCAGCATGACTTGTGCAGTACTTCAGTAAACTGAGTAGGAAGTTGGATACTGCCTCCACCGTACAGCGGCCCCACAAATATTGGGTAAAATCCGGTCTTTATTCCTAATCTTGTAGTTCTCATTTTTTAGAATTTCTTTGTTTATTGGAGCCTCGATGATTGCACTTGTGTTGTGCGCTTCAGGAAGTCCTGCCGACTACTGTTAGAGGGTGGGGGCAGTTTCCAATTGGTAAGTCCAGCCGCGCTCTGAGCCCTGAAGCTTGCTCGCATCTGCAAACTCTGCCACTTCAGAATTTCAGATTTTCTCTGGATATCAAGGTCCGGGTAACAACTTGTGAATTCTTGTGCTGCGCTCTCCAACCTGGAAGATGTTCCGATGTGTAGAAACAAAATGCGACAGGATGGAGACGGTCAGGAGTTCATCTTTGTGTCTTGGACGCAGTTGGCACCAATTTTGTGATTACCTGTCTTCATACTTGCTGCAAGTTCCATGCACACCTTGATGGCCTTGATTTGCAGTCGCTGGCTTTTGTGCAGTGAGTTGTAGGACAGAGCTTGGGATTTTTCTTTTTTTAAGTTGAGCATTTCGGCAGATAGTCCTTTCCTCTAAAAATGGAATATTCCCCTTGTCATATACTATAACATATAGGTGATATGTCATATTTGAGGGTTGGGAGGTTTTCGTATTAGGGAAAGGTGATTGATGACAATACTGGCAGACTGGCAGTTGAATCTGGACTGGGCTCATAGGGCAATGATGGCTCAAGGGAGCCTGGCAGGTGATTTTAACATCGTTGTCGCCGACTTTTGTTTGCTAGTGCCGTGCGTGCGGCTGTTGCACGCGCTTTGGCCCTCTCCACAAGAAGGGCGAGCCCCGCATCTCTTTGGACCACGACATATTCCCAGTTTGGTTTCGCGGTGTGGTCTTGCTGCCATACATGCAGGAAGTGATGGTTTGTTGTAACCATTAACCAGTACGGATTGCTCTACCTCTGCTGTCCAGGACTTTTTAGTTACTATTATGTATATGCAAATAGAAGGTTCTTGTGTGACGCTTTTGCCAAGGTGACCGGCGGCTCGGATGGCGACGCGGTGCTGCGGTCTGGGGAGGTCCTTGAGCTTGTATCAGATTGTGCCACTGGATATCAAGTAAGCAGACAAGAATACGGGGAAATGAAATGGAAACTGGGGTTCCATACTGGTTTATGGGGATACGGGTTTCAGACAATTGGGGGGTCCCTTTCTCGGAGCCCTCAGAGAAAGAATTCTTGTAGTCTCTTGGGATCTATACTGGCCCCCCGCATTCATGGAAAATATCCACAGCAATTCCTTCGAAGATGAGGAGTTGGGGTTCGGGATTAGGGTTGCGAAGTTCGTTGAGGATTAAGGTGTAGGGGCTAGTATTGTTTCTCGGCCTGTCAGGGAGCACATAGGTCCCTGCTGCTGCTAGTATTGCAGTGACCACAGTCTTTGTATGAGTCGGTTCTTGCCGCTTCAACCGATACGAAAGCTGCTATTTGATCTGTTGCCAAAGGTACATCAATTCCTTTATGCAGGACATGGTATGGCCCAAATTGATCGAGGAGGGCTTGTGCTGACTTTCAAAAGCATCCTCCTTTGTTGCATTTTTTTTTTGGAGCTTTGAGTACAGCTGCCCAGGCTGGGAGGATGCAGAAGTAGGTGGGTCATTAGGGGGATCGATTTTATCCTCCCATCTCGAGGCTCCAAGCGTAGGATGCTGTCTTCAAAGAGGGTCTCTCCGGGTAGCAAGGCTGAGCTTGACAACCTGCAGGCAATCATGTCTTCAGGGTTTTAAAGTCAGGAGGGCCTTCGTGTGGAGACATGGCTTCCCGGAAGCTTCCCAAACTGGATTACATCCGGGATCTCCTCATAGCCCTATGTACCCCTACTCTCCCTATACTTCTGCCACTTTGGTGTTCTTGCGATGAGCAGGTCTTCAATGTCAAATGGCAGACCTGGGAGGCGCGCTGTGCAGTTTTGAGATCTCCCCAAAAGCAGCAGGATGAAGGCAAAGCTCCCCAAAAGAAAGGTAGGGTGAAACCCCAAACGTGATGGCCTCATTCTGAGACTGGGAGCTTCACATGTAGAGTTTTGTATTGGCATCTGGCCAAGGCATGGTAGTTAAGCATGCGTGCAGTCTTTGGCAAGCTTGCGCGTGCCGGGAGGACATTCCGCCCATGACGTTCCCACGGATTGCGCACACCTCCTTTGTGCTCAACGGGAAGCTTTATGTGGCCGGGGGCATCGATGGCAAGGTGGGCAGACCTTTCAGAGACCAGTTTCTTTCTCGTTTCTATTCTGTTAACAGGAAGCATGCAGGCCTTTAATGCAAACGGGCGGCAATACCGCAGCTGCCATGCAAACCACCGCACTACAGTGCAACATGCATTTGGCAGGTTTCGTCTTGACCCTCTTCCATGGGGATGTTAATTGTTAATTGGTTGGATCTAGCTCGCTTTCATGATGCTTTTTCGTACTTGCATCATCCCGCCACGTTGCCATCGACAACAGATTTTTTTGCATTGAAATTGAGGAGGCATGGGTATATTTCCCGGATGTGTCTTCCTTTCACACTAAACCCTAAACCTGAAACCCCAAGGGGCCAAGGTAGGCCGATTAAATTCCTACGGCCAATGAAGTGTAGCAAGCCTCAGTCAGCGAGCATAAGAGTTTGCCTTGGGGCCTTCCTTTGTGGACAAGGTTGATGCCCTTGAGTATTCCATGTGCTGGTTCCCTGAGAGCCTGGCTACTATCATGGTTTTTGTGGTAATAGTAATAGCAGGCTGTAGCTGCTGCTGTAGTAGCATCCGTCAACTGTCGAGGTAGTAGAGGTGCTAGTAACAGCGATGGTGATTCGATGGTGGTGGTGATGGTGGTGATGGTGGTGATGGTGGTGGTAGTGGCGGAGTACTGGCAGCAGTATCGGCAATGCTGGTCGTGGTGCTTGGCAGTAGTTTTCTTTGTGCTCATGGTATTCATGAGGTTTGCCGTGCTATTCCAAGAAATAGTGCAAATCGCACGCAGAAGTATCAGTAGCAGAATTCATACCACGCGATTCTTAGAAGTAGTTGACTGTCTTGTGGACGTTTTTGCCGCGTGAGTGATGCGACTTTACCAGGCAATACTTGAAAGCTCTGGGGGCATGTCAGTATGCAGTTGTGACTTGCAGCACCTCCCAGAGTCTTATAAGCAGCTTGAAAAACTTGCCTACTTGAAGGGTCAGGGCACTGGCAAGTATGTTGACAACCCCGCAAAACCATATAGAAAGCCTAGTTTTCCCCATTATCCACCTACTTGTTAAGCCCCCTTGACCATCCAAGTACCCAGCAGTGCGTTTAGGTGGTGTTCATTTTGCCGCCCTGCCAGGTGCCCCTTGAAACCTTTGAGTGCTACGACCCTGCGGAAAAGTCCTGGAGTGCACCAATGCGGTTAGGCTGGCCGAAGAAACATTTAGGGTTTCATATGTATACAGGGATTACATAGGAATCATGGAATTCCATGCAAACGACAGTTTAGGGTTTAGGGATATACCCAAATGACGGAGAATCACATGAACAAAAAACGGAACATGGTATGGCAGCTGTGGTTATGTAGTGGTTCATGATTCATGGGGACGCTTGTTGCTGAAAATTCGGGCTACCTTCTTGGGTGTCCTTGCAAGAAGGATTATCGTATTCTGTGGTCGAGGGCCACATAAAGTATGGGGAGGTGTAGGAAGAAGGAAAAAGAAAACGGAAACTACTATTTAGGATTTAATTAGCGTTCGTAACATCATGTCTCATGCTTCCTACACCAGGATACGCGCATGACACGTAGTCATGTGTGGAGCGATGGGTGGTATGTAATTGTATGACGCCGCAGCACGAGACATGTTGTGATTATGTACACGTCATATATTCATATATAGTATATGCATTCTTTTTGCGCAAAGTGACATGTAAACTGGAATGTGGAAATTAGACGAACCTTTTGTGTAAGTCTCTTCTGGGCATCTCTCCAGACTCCAAAATCAAGCCCATCACGAGGAAGTCCATGGTGGATTGGTAGCATTCCTTACAGAACCTTGTGTATTCCCTCAGTAGCCCAGCTCAAATGAGGGCTTTAGAAAGTGCTATTCATTCCACTTCATGTAGAAACAGGTGGTAGTTTCCCTAAATAGGGGGGACCCCAATATACACCCAAATATACTACAGTCCGAAATATAGGGACCCCCAAAAAGGTACCCTTAAATTTGGGAAACCTCCAGGTATATTACATAGCTGGCAGAGCTGCAGAGCTTCTGCGGAGGTGCTTTGTGAGGAAGTTCAAGGTGGTTCTGCTTGTCACGGCCGCCTGCTGAGTAGCGAGGAAAGGTAGGTTAAGGGTTTAGGGTTTGGGGTTCAGGGTTTAGGGTTTAGGGGTGAGAATAGCAGACATCAGCAATGCGTAGCAAACTGGGGTTCAAGCATTTTGGGTTGAAAGGCATCTGAAACATGTTCTGTTGGACGGTGCAAGGTCGAGCCTCATTGACGCAAGGCTGGGCGCAGAGAAATGCCCGTGTGTGATCCATATCGTTTCAGGGTCAAAACAGAAGAATCTCGCCCCCTCAATAGAACTTCCCTACCCCCGATATTCAAGACCCCCAATAAACTGAAATAGATATGTACATAGATAAATACATATATATGTATATATATGTATTGGGCAGAGTTGTTTATTATCAGATGTCTAGGGGCAGTGAAATGTTAGCATGAACTGGGAGCTTTAGGGGCTTGGCTCTGTGATGTTGTGGTTCGAATTATCTCCGTTTCACCGCAGAATTGCAAAGAACCAAGGGGGATCGTATGAGTTGGTTGGGAGATGATGGATGAGTTCTCATGGCCACAACATGTTGCTGCTCTGCCAGTTCTGTGAAGTTTTGCACAAACAAGTTGCAAATCTAACATTTCTCTAAATAGGGGAATCCCAATATAAATCACAAATATTATCATCCTTACGTTCGGTACCACCCAAAACGGAACCTGAAATTGTTGAAAACTTGCAAATCCCGTTCGAGTATGTAGGCATCCAGGCAAAGTCCACTCGAATCCCTGGGTTCACAGCTTGCTCATGCGATCAGTCAAGCCTGAGCGCGAACAGCGTGCTCCCAACGGGCCGTAGCAGCTTTTGAGCAGAAAGGACATCACTAATCTCCTCAAGTGCGAGCTTGATCTTGAGGCCCTTGCAATTGTTGTGGCTGGCTTAATGCCCGGATGTGTGTTGAAGTTGTATGTAAAACTTTAAGTTGTGCTGGTTGAGGGAGGATCCTGTCTGCTTTGTGTCACAATGCAACAGTTGCCGACGACTACAGGCATGAGGCATAAAAAAACACCGAATCAACTTGAGGGAGTCATTGGTCTTTGCCTCCCTGTTCGGTTTAGTTGGTGCTAATCAATAGGGTCATCCACACTGAGAGTAACTGTCCCGAAAGAGTTTTCTTCTGGAGGGACTGTTATAGCTGCTAATACCCCTTGTTTAACCGTTACTTTGAGCGGGAATGATCTAACTCATCAATGACAGAGATGTGGGACGGCGCCGGTTTTCCTATGTCACAGTTTGGTGGCCTACAAGATCAGAGTGCTATGTCTAGGCGATGTCATTGTGTTGGTAAGGAGCCCCTGTAGAGAAGTCCTCGAACAGGACGTGAGTACAGGGGCCATGTGAGCTATAGTCTAAACTCCTTAAAGGGGGTTATATAGGGGATTAGAAAAGGGACTACTATATGGCTTATTAAGGGGGATACTAGGAGTTTAGACTATAGCTCATGTGAATCATACGGTCCTTCGTCACTGGAAGGCTCCTTGCCTTGGACCTTCAACCCCAGACTCGCAATGTGGGTGTCGAAGTTTGACACAAAGGCAAAATCCTGAATCCTACACCCATTTGCAAGCGCTCATAGTGAAACCCTACGACTTGAACTCCCTGACCTGTTTGCGCAGTCCGAGGAGCCCAGGCAGTAAAATTGACAAAGCCAACTAGCGAAAACTCCAAATCCTGACGTCCACTGTACCATAGAGGTAGCTGTGTCAAGAGGTTTTTAAGGTGACCTTTAGTTCACCAGTCGGGTAATTCCATGGTGTTGATGAAAATGGTCGTAATGCACATACGTTCATTTGTCCGGTCTGGGCATGCTTCCAAAGCCCTCAACATTTTGTGGGATTCCAGGGACCCTTAAGGGTACATATTCGGCAAATACTAGGTATACAGGGGCTCATGACCCTAAACCCTAAACCTTAAATCCCGATGAAAAGGGGCGCTGCAAAAAAACCTAAATCACTGCTAAGGTACTGGAGTGCTTGGTGTCCACGGGGCTGTGCAGAGAACACGGCAACCTTGGCAGCATGGGGGTGTGGGTGATATGGTTGGTAGCTACATGTATACATATATATACGAATATTACAGGAGTTATGAAAAGGTCATATAGGGATAATGGAAAAGAACATGGAAACTGCCACATAGGTTTTAGGGTTTAGGGGCTCATGTAGACCTCTGATTAATAAACCCTTCCTTTCAACGGCCTATATATTAGGATCCCTACTATAATCCCTATGAAGGGGAGAGGCTTTATTATCAGGGGTTTCCCCACTCCCTACATAAACCCTACACCCTAAACCCATGAACCCATAAACCCTAAGTACCTTATGCCTTGGAACTTGTGACATGCCGGCATTCACGGTCATGCAGGGTTTGTAGTGTGTACACTCACAGAACTAGGGAACGGCAGCAAGGGAATCTCTTTTTTCGCAAGGGGAACAGGCTGTTGCCCGCGCATGAGCTATCGTCTAAACTCCTAGTATCCCTTTTTAAAAGCCCTATAGTAGTCCCCTATATAATCCCCTATGTAGCCACCCTTCAACGGGTTTAGACTATAGTTCACACGTGTCCCCTTCAAAAGCCTGCTTGGAAAGGGTGCTCACAAAAGCAATTCGGATGGTCGTAGAGTGTGGATGTGCCTGCAGCACTCAAAACTAGTTTTGTGTGGTTTTCATTCTAACTTACAAATTTCCAAGGGAATTAGGGTAACAGAATCAGATGGAAAGCAGCATGGCAAATCAAATAGAAGCTTGGATGATACGGGGGGTGGTACAGGGATTGTACTAATTTGGCCAGGCATCGGAGAAATACGAACGGCGTACCGTAACGCCACAGAGTACAATCCAGTGAAGCATTACATCATTTGACAGGAGCCTGCGTGCCCTCTGAACGCCAACTGTGCTATTATAGGACTCATCGCAATCCGAAGTAAGCTGCTTGAGTCATGCAAATTGTTGGCTGCTTTAAGTTCGCATTAGGATACAGGAGTTTTGGAATTAGGGGTCCCATTTTTGCCGCAAATATCATGATCCATCCTGCTCGAGCCCCCCCCCCTCGAACAGGGACGTCGAATTTTGGAAATTCACATGTTTTGCAGGTGGCCGAGGGCTGTTTCTTTTCTTGCTGTGTGGATCTTAGCTTCAAAATCCCCGGCCTAGCTCGCAACAGTTGATGCAACGCTTGTCGTGAGAAAACGAAGTCAGAAGCCAGGTTAGCCTTGCAAATGCCTAGTTGTCTTATGGGTGATTTTCATCTGCTATTCCTAAACGGTTGATGCCATACCCTAAGCCCTAAAGAACCCTAAACCCAACCCTAAAATCCTAAACCCAAAAAGAACCTAAAACACTAAACCCTACACTTTCCCAAAGGAAATCCTACAGTCAAATCAGTCAAAGCCTTCAACGCCTTACCCGGAAACCCTAGATTGCTTAGATGATAGCAGCTAGCCAAGACCCCAACCTACCATGGTGCATGGGTATTCAGAACCCATGAGCCCAGTAAACCCCTCAATATGGTGATTTATGAGATAACTACAGTTTTATCAGGGTTATGCTCCCTACACCCAAAGCTGGCGTATAGTTTTTTCCCCATGGCCTCGCTGCGACTCAGCTGCCGCCGCGCGTCGCAGCTCTGCTGTCCCCTGGAGCAAGGAGTAGTAGTAGTAGCATTACTCGGAGGGTGAGGGGACTTAGTAAGTAGGTTAGTACTGGGGATAACTAGGCTTACTACATGGTTTATCGGGGTTAGCAACTTGATTTCTAAGTCCCCCTGACTCTCCAAGTAATAGTAGGAGCTTAATATTAGTAATAGTACTTATAAAACGCATAATGGTAATATTAGCGCTAATGTGGGGCTTTCCACCTCCCGTTTTCGGGTTCCTTCAAATAGGGACTGCAGTATACTGAGGTCCAAATAATTAGGGGCCGCCTATTTATGTATAGACAGTATAAGGTTATGTGCGGTTTAGGATCGAGGGTTGGCCAGTTCTCAGGCATTGTGCAAGGCTACCTAAAGCTCTCCTCAGGTCTTGGTCAGCTTCTAGCTTTTCCGCCATAGACTAAACTCCTTAAAGAGGGGGATTATTAGGTACTGTACTATAGGGGTTATTCAGGGGGATACAAGAGTTTAGACTATAACCCTTAGATTCCCCTACATAATCCCAGTTTCCATTTCATTTTTCATTTTCTTTTCCATTTGATTTTCCATGTTTCCAACAAATCGGAAAACACTCTTGGTAGTCCTCAGAAACCCTCATGTCAAAATTGGAATCAGGGATTCCGCATTTATTAGTGTGTTCGCGCGCCAGGGCTTAGTCCCGACATCCAAGGGGTTATTCCTGAGAGAAGCCATTCATGGACACGTTCTGGGCCTGACGGGTTTTTCTGGAGCAGGAGGTCGGGATATGAAACATTTTTGGTTTGAGGGATCACCTTGCATCTCCTTGGGCCCTGTCACTGTAAGATCTCAGTCAGTGATATTGGACGTTGTGGTTGCCGGTGCTACCGCTGGTGAAGTAGTCCATCCTGCATTCCACATGCAAAGGAAGCTTCAGACGTCTCAGGCTTTGCGGTGCTTTGATTACTGCAAGGCAGAGTACATCAACAGCATTACCTTACGCCCTATGGATTTGTTCGAGAACCCAACATTGCAGGGTGCACAGACAAGTAGAAGGTCGGCTCCGCAGGAAGGGCCATGATTTGGCTTTCCCCATGCAAAGCACAGCCTCACAACCTCCCAGAGAAACAATGAGAGCAGACAACCACAAACCGAGAACAGGTTCACCATCACAGTCTCCCCGGCCGCGGGTTGGCCCAGAAATGCATGTTGCGTCAAGCAATGCGCATGGGCACCTAACAAAAGACACCATCCTTGGTCATTCGCGCCGCCACGCATAATCTTTGCCCAGGCAGGAAGTAGGTACCGTAGCGGGGCAATTTGGAGAGGGGGCGTGTTCGCTGTTCGGGGCAAAGACCCTGAGGGTCCCACCTCATGAAGCCCTGATGCCAAGCCAAAACCCCAACCTTAACCCCAAACCTCGAGGCCGTACCAGAAAAGGTTCCTCCTTTTTTTCAAATACTCCCAGCTCGCGCACCCCGAACGCACACCAGGCTGCTGTGGCCTAGCCCAACTGCCCTTGGCATTTCTGGCACTGCTGCCGCTCCCAGGCCAATCCTCATCAACTCAGTGAAAGGGCTCCCAGACCCCTGGGAGGATCTAAAAATTAGATCCCCTATATAAACCCATTATAACTTATAACCTCTATATTAATCCTTATATAATTCACCCTATGGTTCTAGGGGATCTAATTTTTAGATCCTTTTGGGGGTCTGGGTTGCTAATTAGTAGGGAATAGTTTGGGGTTCTATACTCGGGGGAACATTACTCCAATACAGTAAAGGAGAATCATATGAGTAGAGCATGGGAAACAAAAAAATGGAGTGTTGTAGGGCCGTAGGGCGGATATGTGGCTTACTGGTTGTCAGGCTTGGCGAAAGGAATGTAGCAGAAACAGAAACTACCTGCTTTTAGGGATCACGTAGGGCCTGCAATGGAGATCCATTGCTTTTCTTTGTTGATGTCATGATGTTACGCCAGCAGCAGGTCATCTTGTGTAATGGCATGCACAGGACTGGGGATTTGCAAAGTGGGCCCTCCTGGCATACGCATGCATATTGTTCAAGGGTGCCTTCTTGTGATGTTTAGATGCTTTCTTTGATGTCCTCGTATCAGCAGACGGCTCTTTTGCAGGACTTGTGCAACACAGAACTTGCCCAACAACGACAGTCATTGCAGGTTCTTGAAGATCTCGCCTAGCAGGGACCCAAGAGGATTTTTGAGAGCCTTACATCGCAAGCATTGGAACTCCAAGCCTGTACAGGTTGCAGCGCCCTCAAGCCTTGAAGCCCCTAACTCCAGAAAGCGCCAGGGCCCGAGTTTCGGCGTTCTTCCTGGTCCTTCCAAATCCTTGGCCTGGCGCTGGTCGGACTGTCCTCGCATGCTTTCAGTATGTGCTTTCTATACCAACTTGCCCTTCAAGAGCGGCCCGGACTAGATGGTATTTCCATCAGGTATGCTGCTTGTCTGTCTTTTCAAGCCTCCTGGCGAACACTCGTGAGTTATAATCGCTGCAAGTTGAACCGAAGCTGCGACGCATTTCGCATGAAGTAAGTTCTTTACGTGGCTCTTTTTGCAGTCCTTCTTGTTTTGATGAGCAAGTGTTAGGGTAACATCCTGTCTGTTTGTCCGGTCAGAGCCTGGTATCTTGGCATTGCTGCCGGATTTTTCTCAACTGACTGCTCATTCACTGCACCCGAGACACTGCACTGTTTCTATGAGGACTCTCGTGTTGCTGCTTGTATGCAATTAACGTGCCTGGAACATCGGGACCATAGACTCAGATGGATGCCGAAGGGCATATGAGCTGTGAAGCAGGGCACAGGTTCCCAGCAATTGTGATGGGCTGTGTGCGAAACGGGGTGGGGCTCTTGTGATGGTTGCGCTTGTTGTCATGTAAGGAGGGGCCTTGGAATATGCTTGTTTTAGGTGCTGCCCAATGAAGATCCAACCCAGGTGCGTATCCACTTTGTGCATTCGCCTGTCGTGTTGTGGCCGACAGCAAGGAGGATGTGCACTTCTTCGCTGGATTTCTCTTCAATTTACTGCGACTCAAGTTGTGGAGTGCATTCCTAGAACTCCAGACCGGTCAGCTACCATCTTCATTCTCTGCGCCGGAAGTCTTTTGGATAGCCCCTGCCCTTCACCAAGAGCGTTTCGAGGGAAGCTCTTCAATTCAGAAACATTACGGGTAAGGGCCCAACAAAGATAGGCTTACTTGACTGGCACACCACACCATCCTCCCCAAGCTCCAGTTGAGTAGTGATTGTACCCGGCCGGGAATCGAGATGAACATGTGCATGCACCAACGTACTTCTGCTTCCAAGTTCTACCTGAGAAGCCTAGCTTCCCAACTTGCGAGATTCAGATTCACCTTGCTATTTGGGACATGGGCTTTGAGTTGGAGATTCATGAGTACCCCAAAATACCAAATTCAACGATATTCTTTTCACAAGCGTGTGATTAGCCGGCCAAGCCTTCAGGTGTAAGTGTGTCTATAGGAAGTGTGACAGCTGTCGGCCAAGTCAGGGCTGTCAAGGGGCTGGAATCACCTTGTCATCAGCTTCAACATGCTGAGATGACCTTGCGGTGCTGATGATTTCAAGTTGCATGCCTGTTGTAGGGATGGCACGAAGCTTTTGGATCCATGCTATTTTTTAACCGACCTGTGCAACGGCATGAGCGTGAGATCAGTAGGTCAGTATGAGCCGGCCACCTGCTTGAGTGCACTTATTCAGCACAAGAACATGCCATTGTTGGACTGACTGGGCATGATAGGGCAATTATTGCTTCGTCTCTTCCATTCGTGCTTTGCTGTGCTTGTGCTCAAAGGCGCTGGTGCCCTCCAGCATGAAGGCTTAGGGGCACTCGGCGGCCTGTTTCAAAGGGAACAGCCGAAGCCATGGGATGCCAACACTCTGCGAGCAAACGCGATGAGGAGCTCGGCACCCAGAGTTATGACACCCACGCTACCAACCATAGCCGCAACAGCCGCAACAGCTACAGCAGCGTCACCTCACTGGCGGGGACATCTATGCTGTCGCCGAAAGGCGGGGCCAGCCAAACCTCACTGCACCTTAGTAACATTCTAGTTGGTTCCGGAAGCTCCGTAGCACAGACCAGCGAATCTCCGCTGAATCCAAAATGTGCTGAATCAGCGGGGCATTCGCTTCCAGTCGCTTCACCATGAAGTTTGCAGGGAGCGCTTTCTGTCCTTCTAGTGTTTTCAAACACTTCCTTTAGGTTGAGCCAGTGGTCAATCCCCGGCTATCAACTGAGCAATAAGGATGTGAGGCGTAGTAGAAAGAAGAAGCAGTCAGCGGTAGGAATAAGAAGAGTAATACCGGTGACGTATTACGAGTGGTTTCCATGAGTGATAGAAGTAGTAGGGGTAGGAGGAGCCGTAGTAATAGTCTTATCAGGAGCAGTCGCAGCAGCAGTCGTAATGAGTTGTTGGACAAGATGTAAGCAGTGCTGGTGTCTCTTCTCATGCGCTCGGATGCTTTTTTGGGAAGCTTCCCTGCTTCCCTCCGCATCATGAAGCTGGCAGGTCCTGAAGGAAGCTATGCATTGCATGGTCCCTTTGAAAGCCTCGAACTTAAGGAGTTTTGTTGCCAGAGGAAAGGTTGCACAGTCTTGATCCACCCGCATGCAGTGTGCATGTGTCAGAATCATGCAGACCCCTCCCATATTTGCATGTGAACAGCCGAATTGCCCTTATACATATGCCCCTTGAACCAGATGGACATCAGCCTATAACATTCGTATTCGTACATCCGGGTTTTAGAGTTGTCCCCTTTGAACAGGTGGACAGCAGCAACAGCTGTTAGCGACTCCCACGCCGCAGAAGAGCCCGCGCTCGCTGTTCCGTGTGGCCGGCGGCCCAGGGCTAACACAAGCTTTGGGTTAGTTAGGTCTGGTTTTACAGGGTAGATTGGATCTTCGAGCAGAACCCTCGGATTCTCCCCCAGGCAGGCTAGGACTTTAACTACTGTGTGGTTTATGAGAGTTATTAACCGATTAACCTACTTGCTAAGTCCCACTGACCCCCCGAGTATGGGTTCTGGTCCCCTTTGATATGTATATCAGGTTTTTTGCTGATACAAACACAGGCTGGACAGGGTGAATTGGCGGTTCTCATTGGCGAGAAATGTTTGTGGGGTTCTATGGAATTAATTGACCCAACAAAGGGAGAATCAAATCGAGAACAAAGCTTAGATGACATGAAACATGAGTGTCCCGCATTTGGGGGTCAGTAATTTAGTCCAACTCTTTTCCGAAAAAAAAAAAGGTGAAATCTCTCTTGGAACGCCCTGGGGGAAGTGAAAGCTCCCAGCAACTTTTGTTTTTGGGTTTGGGGTCTAGGGTTTAGGGTGAATCACCTGTTTTGGAGAGCCTGAAGTAATCCCATCAATGTCCTAAATCGTAGTGTCCTGAAGCTAGTCCGCTATGCCTGAGACACCCCGATGAGACCAAGGCAATCCCCTCAATGCTAAACCATTATATGGGGTTTAGGGTTTAGAGTGGTAGTTTCTACTAAGAGGTGGCCCTATACAGACAACAAATCATGAGCCTTCTGATCTGGACCCTGGAGAAGAGCCCACGTTTTTTGAAACCTCAAACACTATATGTCCTCCTATACCCCTACGCATCCCCGTGTAATCCCAAGATCTGCTTTTAAAGGGATACCCTAAGCAGCAAACCCTAAACCTCAAACCTTAAACCCTAAAGCCTTAACAAAACGATGTGCAAGGCAACCTTGTCTTCGGGCTGGTCAAGCCAGTCTAAGCCACAGGCCGAATCCTGGACTTTTTTTTTTGGGGAGGGTAAAGGGGGTTTATAAAGTATTACCCCAATAATGGAGAATCAAATGGAAAAGAAATGGAAAATGAAATGAAAACTGGGATTATAGGGTTTATAGGGGTTATAGAAGGGTTATATGGGTTTAGGGTTTAGTCCCTGCTTGGAGGTTCAGCCGGCATTGCCCACAGTCAGCGTTCAAAGGGGTTTGGGGCTTAAAGTTGAGGGTCACCCCATAAAGGGTTGTACCAGGGGTATATAAGGATCATAGAGGGATTTTAGAGGTTTCAGGGAAAGGAAATAGAAAATGAAGTGGAAAGTGTCACTATACGGGTTGGTAGGGTTTAAGGTCAGGCCATGCAAAGGTATGCAAAGCCTGAGTTACAACCACGTAAGAGCCTATACGCAGTCTCTGGGAGTTACGATGATAAATAATGTTAGTGTTTAAAGAGGTACGTGCCCAGGTCCTTATGTTAGGCTCGGGGTTCAGGGTTCATGCTGTTTAGGGTTAGGGTCCAATGGGTTCTCAGACGTTGCGCGAGCACCATCTTATCCTGTCCCATTTTTGCTTCTTTTCGGTAGGCTCCCTAAATAGGGGGACCCCAATGTATGTAGACCCCACAATAATATGGTCCTTACCATGGGGACTCCCAAAAAGGTACCCATAATTTTGGGAATCCCTAAGCCAAATAAATCCTTATAGATCCCTATATTCCCTTATAAAACCCTATAAACCCCTTTAAAGGTACCCATATAATTTTCGGAGACCCCCTCTAGAAGTGTGCAAAAATCAGCGAGTCTCGGGCAGCAGTCCTGGGCCTTAGGTTTTGGGCGGCCGAGAGCTCAGAGTCCGCATGAGCTATACTATAGTCCAAACTCCTAGTATCCCCCCCCTAGTTTAGTAACCCCTGTAAGGGGTTAGGGTTTAGGGTTTCTCCCCGAGAGATTCCCCTATATAACCCCCCCTTTAGGGAGTTCAGACTATAATAGCTCGCATGCAAAAGATGTCAGATATCCCAAGCCTTCAGGCTGACACGGACCCGCCCAGCCCTGGTTTCCAAACTGCTGTAGTTCTTGGCAGAGGGAGCCTTCCCCAGCTACGGCCAGCTTTCTCAAAACCAGAGGTGCCTTATTGGCAGTCCCCATAATAAGGATTATAATATTTTAGGATCCCCAATTTTGGAAAATTACCTCCTACTTCTATTTTGGAAAACTACCACCCTATTTTGGGATCCCTTATTTTGGGAAACTACTTACTCCTCCAGCATGGTCCTTTGGAAACAGGGGTCAGCACACGTGTCCACGGGCATCTCCGGGGCTAGCAGCTTTCGACAGGCTCAGTTGGGGTTGATTTAGGGTTAAGGGGTTTAGGGTTTAAGGGGTTCAGGGGTTCAGGGTTTCAGGGTTTGGGGTTTAGGCTTAGGGGTTCAGGGTTTGGGGTTGAGGGTTTGGGTTTTTTCGTCTGTGGGGAAGATGGTCCTGTCATATTGATGGGTTAGTTACAAGTAAGGATTCCAGAAGAGTGAGTTGTATATGGTGTTCTGGGATCCATCTAGGATTTATTTGGTACTTTCCCAAAATAAGGGGACCCCAGTATCTTATTATAGGGACCCCCAAAAAGGGTACCCCTAATTTCAGGAAACCCCCATTTAGGTCCTTGGGTTGCCCGGCTGTAGGGCCGAGGCTGTCACCGGCATTCGGGTTCTCGGGACTTTAGGGTTAGGATCTACTTCCAAACTGACATGTCAGCGCCGATTCAGCCACCTAAATACCATCCGGTGTTGTTTTTACTTCGCGTCAGTGAGAAGGTTGACGGTAAATCCTCCCATAAGAAAGCTCTTTGTTCAATCATTGCTGATTGGTCGTGTTTGAAGGCTGTTTTTCCATCGCCGGGAATTCCTTCAGCATTGTTTAGCTTGCTCCGGATGCTCGTGCACCTACGTGAAGAAGGAGGTAAACAATAGAATCCATCTAAATATACTATAGTAGTTTCCATTTTCTTTTCCATTATTCCCATATAACCCCAATATACTATAGTAGTTTCCATTTTCTTTTCCATTATTCCCATATAACCCCAATAGAATTGATGTACATGCATCTTTTTGTCTCTCGCAAGGCTTTGAGGCTCAGGATGGTGGAGGATTGTGTGACAAACCTTCTACTTAGGGTTTAGGATTGGGGTAATATTGGGAAAATGGAGAATCAAATGGAAAAGAAAATGGAAAATGAAATGGAAACCCTTACTTAGGGTTTAGGATTGGGGTAATATTGGGATAATGGAGAATCAAATGGAAAAGAAAATGGAAAATGAAATGGAAA